CCTAGGGTCTCGTTAGACTATATACTTTCTAGGGGTTATACGATAGCGTACGACGCTAGTCGAGACCGAAAGACGGTCCTCGACGTCTTTATAATACTTGGCACGTAGGGTGCCCATTTTGTTATATTCTCCTCTATCTAGACTATCGAATAGCCTTATTCGTCGTTAAAGAACGTTTATTAATAACTTTCTTTGCGTCTAACTATCTTTTAATATAGATTAACTAGACTCGTATCGCGTTATTATTTCGATAACTTTTATATTTTAGAGACTTTTTAAGTCTTATTCCGCTAATATCTTAGAATAAATCTAATAATAAATACTACTATCTAGATAAAAGTCTAGATATATTTATCTAGTCTATAAATAAGAGGATAATCTTTAATAAACCGTTTATAGACGTCGAAGCGAAGATTTCGAGAGTTCTATAGTATCGTAGATAGTTAGCGAGAGTCGCTATAGTTCTTTCTAGATTTCTAAGGCGATTCTCTTCTAGAAGTTTATATATTTTCTATAAATTAGCTCTTTTTATAAAGATATTAATTTCTAATACTACTATTATTAGAGTTAAGAGAGTATTTATATAATATTTAGTATAAAAGAGCTTTCGAGCGTAGTTTATAAAATATAAATAAGAAACGAGTAGAAGATAATATACGATAAAAGAAAGATAAATAATCTCGAGAAGAATATATTCTTTATAGAAGCTTCTATCTCGTTTAGTAAGAATACTTTATAATTAGCTCTCGATATTTAAGACCGTCTCTAGCTAAATAATACTCTATTCTCTAAGAAATCTTATTATATATCTTTCTTTAATCGATCTATTATTTTCTATTATCTATAATAATATAAATAGATCTAGATAAATTTAAATAATTATCTAGTTTCTACTAGTATAGTTTAAACGAGATTCTAATAAAAGATTCGTTCTAGTAGTAATATCTCTTTCTCTATTAATATATTAAGCTCTTTAATAATATTATCGTTTATAGTATCTAGGCTAATAGAACGTAATCGAGAACGTTAAAGTAGTTATTACTATTATATCTTAGTTATTTTGCTAGTTATTATTTATATTAATAGTCTTTAAAAAGTCTATAACTTCTTTATCGTTACTAGATATTCTACTATCTAACGACTCTTTTCTTTTTCTTAATAGTCTCGTTTTATAGACTTCTTTAAGTTAGAATAATCTTTCTTTTAATAGCTAACTTTTCTATAATCGAAGTAGAGATTATTATCTTAATACTTCTAACGAAAGCTACTTAAGAATCTATATTCGTTTTTATAACTACGTAAGATTTTAGTCTTAGTAGATAAGAAGAATTTTAGTCGAAGACCGTTAAGGACTATCTTAATATTACTATTAGCGTTCTTACGATCTAGTTAGATAGTTCGAGAAGATTAAAAAGATTTTCTCGAGAAAAATCTTCTCGAGCGATCTCGAAAAGGGGCTATTCTATATACGTTAATTTATATCTCTCTTTCGCTTTTATTTATAAAAAGAGCGTAATCTCTATAATTTTAGAGAAGTATAGTATTTAGAAGAAGTTTTATTCGATTTCGAATAGTTATTCTAAGCTCTCGTTTAAAAACGAGTAGATATTCGATATCGCTAGAGCGAGAGTCGAGATATAGTTAAAGAGTTTCGATCTTTTATCGAAACTCTTATACTATTTCTATTTACTTAAGAAAGTTAAACTTATTTCGATATTACTTCTACGTCCTAATATCGCCGAACGCCGTCTAGAATACTTTCTTTTATATCTTCTAGTTAGTTAGAAGTAGATCGATTTCGAGACTATATTTTATATCTTAATATATAAAATTCTATTATATTAAGATATTATCTTCGAAATAGAAAGTTACTAGAGCGATACGTTCGCGATTCGTTAAAGAATATTTATTAATAACTTTCTTTATATCTAACTATCTTTTAATATAGATTAACT